AAAATTAACCTAACTTTTGAAAGATACACGATTGGTTCCCTATGGTAACCATTCATTCATTGAAACCTTAGAGGATAAACCAAAAGAGCTTCCTTTGTAAGATCTCAATTATTTTATTTGCATTTCATTGTCTTAAAATTTTGATTATGAGTTTGTAAATCATCAATTATTTTTTTCTTAACACATTTTTAGATATGGATCTGGTGGCTTCAGATACTTACTCAATAACAAATTTGATCAAGCTATGATAGCTTTTCTTGATTGTATGTCTCAAGTCGTTGCAGAAATTGAAAGAGTCGATAAATCCTGGTATTGTCCATACAGGTAAAAGCGCAAGTTTGGTTCAAAAATTGGCATGTTTTACACAAAACCTATTTTGACAATTCACCTTATTCTTATCTTTTTATACTTTCAGAATGGACAAAGAAAAGATAGAAGACACAAAACGAAACAATTGCTATTCTATTAGGTAAATAATCTCTTATTTATTTCTACATTTTTTTCTGATATTCTGTCTGAGATAATCAAATCGAGAGGGAGTTTACGGAGTGTGAGAAGTGTAAAAGTAAAGCAATAAAAAGCAAAGAAAAAAGAGACTTATGATGAGAAAATGAAGGTAAAGCTGCTATTATTTTATTATTATTATTACCATTTTCCTTGCTTAGTCGTGTTCATCTGAACCACAAAATTTAATATTTAACCAGAGGCTTAAGTTGATAATGAAAAAGAAAGTGAAGAAGAAGAGAAAAGAAACAAGAAAAAAGAGTAAGAATATGCATACTTTTAGTGAATGGATCCATCAGAGCGTAAAATTGGACTAAATCGAGAGTGAAAGGCACACCACGTTGGTGGTTCTCTCTCTTGTATTTCATCTCTTTCTTTAATTTATTTCAGTTTCTTATCAGGTTCATGAAGAAGTTATTTGTAGACATTTAACCTTAAACTGTGTTAATTTCGGTTACCCGTGTTGTCTCTTTGTACACTTTCTGGGTTTCAATGTTGAAGAGATATTTGGAAAGGCAGTTTCATTAGGTAAACCCAGTTGGTCATTAATTGACAGGAAACTCGCTAGTGAGAAAGCGTTACCTTTTTGTATGATATTTCACGCTATTTCTGCGATTTACTTGGCTTTCCAGGTAAAATGGGTTTTGTTTGTGTGTTTAATCATTCAATTTGCCCTAATAAGTTATTCATAGCAAAGCTCGCCATAGATACTTAAAACTATTGAAACATAACTCTGAAATGTCTCAATTTTAAAATTAGACTCTATTAGTATGATCTAATAGTATGATAATAATAGCACTGATTACTCATGATAAACGCCTTATTCGAAACACATGTTCTACTTTTACTCTCTTCTATTTCCTTTTTTTACCAGGCAATATCAATAAACGCTACACTAATGTTGCAATTAATAAATTAGTTTACTCTGAAAAGATCTTTTTTCAGTTAATTGCCATTTAATATGATCATTAAGTGACAACTTAATGCTGTTTTTCAATTTTACAATAACCAATCATTGACTTTGTATACTTTAAATGAGCTGTATTCAATCTGATCATTGAAGCAACAGCGTTAAATTGTTAGGATCTTACTGTTAACTTCAATTTTCAAATCTTTCAAGCCTTTGTTGTTTTATCAAGTAATTCAATAGCTAACGAATCTATGGAAAATTTATCTCAAATTTTATTTTATTGCTTAAATTACGACTTGAAAAATTAGTGGAATCAATATTTCAACTCAATCGATAAACTTGTCAAGATTAAATTTAAAATAATTGAGTTATAATACTAAAACTTTATTCTCATTTATCTGTACAAAATTATTATCATGTTAAAAGTTGAGCAATTTGAGTAAATTGAGATGATTCGTGTGAAGATTGAGACGAAGATGAAAAGTGTAAAGATATTTACCGAGAACAAGAAAAGATGGAAACCAAACTATTTTGAGATTTAAAAGATGATGATAAAGATGATGATGGTGGTGGTGAAGATGATATTTTACTCTCATCTCCATCTACTATCCATCTATCCTTTATTGAAGTCAAGAAATTAATACGAGAAAATAAAACGACTATAAATTTGGCTGAACTCTTTTATGATGTTGTTGAATTTACTTTTTTTAAGCTTACTTCTAATTGAGATGAAGTTACCACCCGTAACTTTCATTTTGCTGCTTTACGTTCCTAGTAAACACATTTACTCTGTATTTACCATCGACGAAGGTATAAACACTAAGAGAACACATAAAGACGCCCTTTTATTAGTAGACCTCGTGATTGACCCACGTTACGAACAAACCTTTAGGCTATTTCCTCTTCCATAGACTTACATGGGAATCTTAACTTCTCTTTTTTGTTACTTGTTAAAAAGTTTACCCAGTTTCTCACTTTTTAAGCTAACCTTACCTTTTAGTGAAATCTTAATTCATCCAAATTACCTACTTAAATCCTCCCTTCCAATTGACATATTTTTTTAACAAATTTACTATTCTTTGTGTTGCCTTACAGAATCCAATATAATTCGGAGGAGGAATGGACCAAAGCATTGAAATATATGCTTACAAATCTGAAATGGATATTAACTTGGGTGGCTCGACCTGAAACAAGTGAAAGATGTGACTCTAGCGTTTCCACCACTAAATAAGACATCAAAAATTGTCGATTTAGACAGCTAAAACAGAGGCCAAAAATCCAAGTGATATAATGAGGAGAAAAAAATTATCCATTAATTTATACGTCAACCAAGGATAGGCGAGCCAAGTAAAGCCTGAGAACGTTGGTTTACCATTTTAAACAAAAGCATTCAACTCAAGTTGATTTCATTACAAATAATTGTCCCTCCTCACAACAAACCGATAATTTTGTGAAATCCTTCAAGTTCAAGCATAATTTCATTTTTATTGATCTCATTAATTGAGTGAAAGATAAACGTTTTTTCATCTATTTTTCATAGACAAAAATTTGTTTCACATTTATTTATAATTTTGTTAAAAAATGGATGCAATTGGATTTCTTCCATTAAATGCACGATGATGATAATGAAGATGATGATGATGGATATGTTGATGGTAGAGATGAAAATGGCAATCATGATTATTAGGTTGTACAATTTGATATAAAAAATGCGGTAACAAAGTTGT